AGAGGTTGTTTTTTCATAGGAAATTTATGGGTAACAGTCCTGGGTGGTGTAAGTGGTAGATGTGGCTGCTAATCAAAAGGTTAGAAGTAGCAGTCTAGCCAGAGGTACCTTAGAACTCTGACTCTGCACTTTCAGAAGAATCAGCCACTGAGAACCCTGCTGAGCAGAGATCTCTTCTAGGGTTGCCATGAGTCTGAATTGACTTGATAGCATTTGGTATTTATAGGTACATTTCTTTTCTTTTTTTGTTCTGTGAACAACAGATCTGAATCTTGTGCTGTCCTTATCATCTCTGACACTTGCTGTAGTCACTATGTCACTCTGTCATGTTGAGAATCTTCCCTTTTTTGCTAACCTTCTACCTTTCTAAGCATGATATCCCTTTTCCAAGAAATAGCCTCTCCTGGTAACATGTCCAAAGTATATGAGATGAAGCTTTGCTCTAAGGAGCACTCTGAGTGCACTTTTTCTAAGACATATCTATTTATGTATAGAGAGGAGCATGGGTAATCATGGTTGCTACCGGCTCTGCTGGCATTGGTGGTCCTATACACCACTGAATGAGAATTGACTCAGTTAACACTTCAGGGGGTTTACACAGCCTTCACCCACGCTGGAGGATATTGCCCATCTTTCTCTGTGGTGGTTGTTATATATTGTCAAGTCACTTGTTACTCATAGTGACCCTGTGTACAATAGCTCTCACTCAACCCTGCTCTATCCTGTGCCAGCCTTTTTGTCTCTGACACACAATTACTTGAGTCAATCTACCCCATCTAAGATCTCCTTCTCTTGCACTGTTCCTACACCTTCCCAAGCATGGTTCCCTCTCAAAGGACTGGTTCCTCCTTACAACATGCCCAAACTATGTCCGACGGAGCTTCAGAATCCTTGCTTCCAAGAAGCCGCCTAGTTTCACCCTCTAGGATGAACATGTTTGTTCTGGCAGTCCATGGTATAGTCAGTACTTTTCTCCAGCACCACAGCTCAGAGGCATCAGTTCTTCTGTCATCCCTAATCATTGTCCAGCTTTCTGGTTCATAACAAGTACTTGCGGAGACCATGGTGTAGATCAGGAGCACCTTAGTCTCCAGACTGACATCATTGCTCTTAAGTACTCTGGAGAAGTCCCAACATCTGGTATGTTTGAACCACAGGTCTTTGGATTAGCAGTGTAATTCTTTACCACTAAGCCACAAAAACTCCCTACCAGCTCTGGTAACATAGTGCATAGTGTCTCAGGATGCTAACTGAAAGATCAGCAGTTCTAATCTACCAGCTGCTTTTCTGTAAAAGATGTACAGTCTTCTTCCATAAAGATTTACAGCCTCAGAAATTTGGTGGAGGGGTTCAGTATTAGTTAGAACTGACTTGGGTACAGATATCCAGGAAAGTAGAAGAGAGGGCACAGTCTAGTCTTTTAAGTGTGTCAAAAGAGAAAGGCCATCTGAATTTTCATGTAACTAAATTTTTCCTGGTTCAATAGTTGAGAGGTTAGGTAGTTTTATATGGTTAATTAAACCCTACACTTCAGATAGAATATAATTGCATATTAATATTTTAGTGTGGGAAGATCATATAAATATTATTTGAAGATAAGTAAAATGGATCTGGAATTTTTACAAATTATATGCTATTAAAAGATCCAATTCCTAGCAGCTTTTATTACTTGTCAGAGTCATATAGTAAAAAAAAGAGGTATCCCCACTTCTTGCTTAGTAGCATAGTGTACTGAGAGAACAGCTCCCACCATTTTTCAGACCTATCTCTTAGAGGAGCTCCTGCATCCAGAAGTCCTGTGATTTCTAAGTTGTGTTCGGATGGCACTGAGTTAGGAGAAGAAATACGGCATATTTCCAACTCTGCCCACAGAGTGATGACACTTTTTTCTCTGTGAGAGAGCTTCAGGAAAGTGTGAATATCACTGAGTTTCAGGGTTGTGGTGGGGTGGCCTGTACAGGAAGGTTCCTAGGGATAGAAAAGAGAAACCTTAACATTATTTTGGAACCAAGTAGACAGTTTTAGATAGCTTTACAGATAAGCTCTGTCTAGCTTGAGTGAACGGGATCCACTTTTGTTACTGAGTACCTGACTTATTTGGCTGACAGAGGCAGACTAATGGCCATAGATGCCCCCAGAATTAGAGAATTTTACAGATCCTGTTGTTTAACAGGTTATTCACACAGATGATGGTCGCCAACATGCCTCTTTATGAAGGTGATTGTCTCCTCTCTACTGCCCCACTTCTTCCAAATTTTAAAGTTTCGAACAGCTTGTTTGATGGAGTCTAATTATATCTCCAAGAATATAAAAGTAAGCCAGAGAATGAAGTCCTTGGCCACAGAGATCCTAGGATCACCTGAACCTGTGAAGATAAACAAACAGACATGGGGGGCGGGGGGGCGGTATATATATATATATATGTATTTTTCACTTGGAAATAATATTAGTACATAATTCCAAAATGAGAACTTTAAGAAAAAAAAAATCACCTAGAAATAGAACTTTCTTTCCTTTCTAAAAATAAAATTGGGGCTTTCTGAGAAGCTTGGAATTTCTTTGTTGTTATCTGGTACTATGGTGTAGGCTGATTAAATATCACATTTCTAGGTTGCTAGGAGACAGACACCTATCTTGCAGATACTGGCTTATAAGGCCTCTTTATTCTGTGTACTTTTGTATTTCTCAGAATTGTCATGCTTCCTTTTTGAAACCTAAATTATGCAGAGGTAACATGATTACTTTTGACCAAGCCCGGGAATAGAAAACAGTTCAGAAGTATTGAACTAGATTTAAATAAAGGCCTTTAGTAACAGTAGTAGATTAAGGTAATATTCTTGGAAAGTCTCTATCTCAGTTCTTGCTGCTCTTTTTCCTACTTCTGCCATATCCCAGGGTAGAAGAGTTTTTAGATACGCTTTAAAAAATTTTAAGATTCTGAGTGTTAAAACCAGCATTCCTTAGAACCATGACCCCAGAGGTTCTCTTTGAATAATTCACTGATTTGGCAGTCTAGAGACTAAGGTGCACCTACCTGATACAGGCCATGGTCTTTGCAATTACTTGCTATACATCAGAGAGCTGAACAATGATTAGAGATAATAGAAGGGAAATTGATGCTTTTGAGCTGTGGTGTTGGAGAAGAGTATTGAGTCTACCATGGATTGCTAAGAGAACAAACAAGTTTGTTCTAGAGAGGGTGACACCAGGCTGCTCATGAAGGCAAGGAATCTGAAGCTTCATCTGACATACTTTGGACATATTGCAAAGAGGGACCAGTCCTTGGAGAGGGATGTCATGTTTGGGAGGGTGAAGGGACAGCACAGGAGAGGAGGACCCTTAATGAGGTGGTTTGATTCAGTGACTAGGGTAAAGGGAGTAGGTGTGTCAAAGATAATAAGATTGGCACAGAGTAGAGCAGGTTTTAGGACTGTTGTACATAGTGTTGCTATGAGTTGCAGGCAACTTGATGGCACATAACAACAACAGTAATTATTTTGTCCAGACACTCCTATTTAAAAGAAAGGCTTAAAAAAAGCCCAAACAAAAAACAGAAAAGAAAAAGTTATCTGTTGTAAAATAGTTATCTTGTGAATGCCCAAGTTTAACATGAGAGTACTAAAAGTTCTGAAAAAAAAAAAATAAGCCCAGGTGGTAGATATTGATGAGAATTGGGCACAAAATGTGTGAATTCGAAATGGAAAGCTTTACAATATTAATCAGAAAGTTTTGTCAGTATGTGGACTATAGTAAGTAGTACAGGAAGCAGAGATTGAGAGGGCGGGCTGAATTTTAACAGGTTAGGGAACTCTTGTTTTCTGTTAAAACCTCTCGTGGTCCCACTGCCATTTTTCTGTTTCAAGTCCAAGTATACTACTAATATTATTTCCAGTATCAGTAGATTGCCAGATCTTTCTAGTTTATTTCAGTCTGGAAGTTCTGAAACCTGTTCAACATAAAACACACTGATTTTATGAAAGAAAATTAGCCAGTGAAAACAAGTAGCTCAGTTGACACTACCTTATATCATGATGCTATTGAAATCAGGTCAGGCTCCTAAGTCAGGCACATTAAGAATATTGTTATTACTTTACAGACTGATGCATATTTTGGATCTATCCATAATGGCATAGTTGTCATTTTGTCAGTGAATATAGTTTATTAGCATGCTGGGAAACTGAAATTGAATGTCGTCTATGAAGATAACTTTTTATTATATAGACTACTATTATCCTGTGCAGTGGCAGGAAGACATACTTTCAGTGTCCTGTTTAAGATATTTGAAGACTTTTCACTACAAGAATGTTGATGAGATAGAGAAGATACATATATGTATATTGGCAGAAGTTATAAGAAGATGATACCTTTGTAAATGCCTTAATTATTTAAGTTTTAATTTCTCTGCACACACTGAATGTGATGGTAAACTTTGGCTTCCCTATGTTTGTCTTTGTTTTAAATATATTTTTCCAACTCTGAAAGTTTGTAAACTTTTAAACTTTATATCCTAACTTTATAAATGAAAAATAGGATTACAAAAAAATTAAGAATATACATATGCAAACAATAAAAAAATTTCTGTGTAATCCCATCACCTAGAGATAAATTCTTTTGAACTTCAGAGATCATTCTAGACCATTGTAGAATAAAGCTTTCATTTTCAAAACAAGAATAGAATTATGTGCTGTGTATTGTTTGCTGACTAGCATTTTATAGATGACAATATTTTATGGACGTCTCTATGTCTTCAGATAGTTTTCATTTTCATTATTAATGGTTAGTAGTACTTTATTTAAGAAGGCGCCTTTGATTAGAATTTAGGTTATTTCTGATTTTTTTAACAGTTGCATTTCTACTTCTTTTTTCTACCTCTTTGCTTATTTCCTTAAATAACAGAGTAAATTCTTTTTAAAGAATTTTCCTCCATAGAAGGGAAAAGCATTTGGAAAGTATTGCCAGATAACTTGACATTTGCATTAAACTGTGATACATTTTTTTAGTTGCAGAATGAAGAGGAGCCTGGCGAACCTGAACAGGCTGGAAGTGATGCTCCTCCGCCTTACAGCAGCATCTCTGCAGAGAGTGCAAGTAAGTGATGGGAGCACGTGATAGCTGAGCTCCTTATATGCTTTTTTCCACAGACTTTTCTAGTGTGTGCTTATTGGAGGTTACCTTTGCTTCAACATTCATTAAGAAGTTTTTGCTAAAAGATTTGTTGTAACTTGAAGAAAGAGAGCCCAAAACCTTCCTCATGTTACTGTTTTTAAAAAATAGGCGAAACCCCATTTGAATGTGGTTCCTTCCTGATCTGCATTGGTATTTAAAAAAAAAATTTATAAATAAATAGGTACCAAAATATTTACCAGTTCAAAATCTTTGCATGAACAGATAAAAGCCAAAAGAATACATTTGTTGTCATTGAGTTGATGCCAACTTAAGAATTTATTTGATTATCAAAATCCTATAGGAACAAAGAGTTTTGAAGGTCTATTATTTCAGAAATGTATGGCCAATCCTTCTTCATAGTCTGTTTTAATTTGGGAATTCAGCTTAAGTACAGCATCAGACAGACAAACGTTGAACCCGAAAGACATCAGACAGACAAACGTTGTACCTGAAGGACAGCATCAGACAGACAAACGTACCCGAAAGAGCCAATGATAGACAAGTAAACATAACACATCTAAGCGATAAGAGCAGCAACATGTAAAGATACTTCCCCAATACAAAAACTTGACAGATAAATTCAACATTGATCCCCATACCCTTCAGTGTTAGTCTTGTTCTCACTCCTGACCCCCATCCTCCCTACCCTCCCTACCCATCCTGTAATGAATACCATGGACTGCCAAGTGAACAAATAGATCTGTGCTGGAGAGAGGGTGAAACCAGGTTGCCCCTTGGAAGCAAGGATTTTGAAACTTTGTCTCATGTATTTTGGGCATGTTGCCAGGAGAAGGATATCATACTTGGAAGGGTATAGGGTCAGCACAGAAGAGGAAGACCCTGAATAAGATGGATTGACACAGTGAGAATGGGGGAAGTGTGTCAGAGACAGTGAGATTAGTTTAGCATAGGGTAAGGTTCAGAACCATTGTTCATAGGATTGCTATGAGTCAACTCGACAACATAGTACAACAGAACAACATAGGACAGAGTAGAATTGCCCTGTAGGGTTTCTAAGATGGTATTTGTTGTCATCTCCACAGTAAGTTGTACGGCTAACCAGAAGGCTTTACCTCCCAGTTGTTTTCAATCCATCAGCTGCTCTGAGGCAGAATGATGGGTATTCTCCTGTTAAGACATGTTGCTGAGTACCGTAGAATAGGAACTAACTCAGCTGACCCTCCAGCGGGTTTTCAGAGGCAATAAATAACATTGGAGGAGGGGGCCTTTCTCCGCGGAGCAGCTGTGGATTTAAACTGCATACATTGGGTTAGAAGTGCAGTTCCTTGCCTTGGAAACCACAGAAAGTTAAAACTTTGAGTCTGAGTCGGCTAGCAGTAAGTGAATCTTTCAAGATGCGACTGACCTTTTTTTAAATAATGCAAACTATAGAAAAATTAGTGACCACAACAGGATACTATGACTCAAGTATTTGATAAACATTTTTTTCAAATACTGTTTTCTCTCCCTTCATATCAAAATATTAAGTAGTTATAAGTATCATTTACCATAGATAACCAAACTGATGATCATAAAGATTTGTGAGCAGAGCAGTAAGATTTTAAAAAGCTAGATTAAAACTTGTACTGCTCACCATCTAAATGTCTTCTTTACTATTGAAGGCAATATGGTGCTTTCTTAAAAAGTTGCAAGTAGAAATACCATTTGACCCAGGAATTCTACCCTAAAGAAATCAGAACTGCCACCCAAGCAGATATATGCACACCCATGTTTATTGCTGCTTTGTTCACAATAGCAGAGTTGGAAGCCACCCAAGTGCCCATCAGCAAACGAATGGGTAGAGAAGCTGTGATATACTCACACAATGGAATACTACCCTGCTTTGAAAAACAAAGAACTCATGAAATATACAAAATGGGTGAGCCTGGAGGACATTATGCTGAGTGAGATATCTTAGCCACAAAGGGACAAATACTGCATAGTGCCACTGGTGTAAAGTGGGACTGACATCGGGGTTGGGGGAACCTAAGAAAAGAGGGGATAAATAACTTAAACTGCATTGAAACAGATGAGGGAGAGAACTGTTTAAAAGGAATATGTTGTTGTTATGTGCTGTAGAGTTGCTTGTGACTCATAGCAACCCTATGTACAACAGCCCTAAACTCTGCTCTGTCTTGTGCCAGTTGCACTGTCTCTGACACTCCCATCCTGATTACCCCAGTCACTAAATAATCAGTCTACCTCAAATAGGGCCTTCCCCTCCTGCGCTGTCCCTCCACCCTCCCCAGCATGATGGCCTTCTCCAAGGACTGGTCTCTTCTTACAATATGTCCAAAGTATGTTAGACGGAGCCTCAGAATCCTTGCCTCCAAAGAGCCACCTGGTTTAACCCTTTCTAGGATGAATCTGTTTGTTTTCCTAGCAGTCCATGGTACTCTCAGTACTCTTCCCCAGCACCCACAGCTCAAAGGCATCCATTCTCCTTCTCTCCTCCTTGGTCATTGTCCAACTTTCTGATGCATAACAAGTGATTGCAAAGACCATGGCCTGTATCAGGTGTACCTTAGTCTCCAGAGAGACACCATTGCTCTTCAGTACTTTGGAGAGGTCCCTAACAGCAGACTTTCTCATGGCAATGCACCTTTTAATTTCCTGGCTACTGGTGCCAAGAGTGTTGACTGTGGAGCCAAGCAAACTAAAGCTGTGAACAATCTCAATCTCTTCACCATCCATCCTGGTGCTTCCAATTGGCCCAGTGGTGAGAATCTTTGTCTTCTTGATATTGAGCCTCAATCCATATTGGAGTCTACAGTTCTTGACCCTCTGCAGCAGGGGCTTCAGGTCCTCCTCAGTTTCAGCAAGCAGGGTTGTGTCATCTGCATAACGCAGATTGTTGATAGATTGTCCACCAATATAGGATTAAGTATTATTTTCATGACAAGATTCCAGAAAAAGAAATGTATAGTAAAGTGGACTATGGACTTGGGGGGCAGGGGGATTGTATAAAAAGGAAAGAATTTTTTTGTTTTTCAAAGAGAAAAATGAACTGGGGGGAGGGGTGGGCAGGGAGAAAATGTGCAACAGTGAATGAATGGGGGGGAGATTAAATGGAAAGAATATGCTGTAAAAAAATAAATAAAAACACAAACAACAAAACGTATCCTACTTGAGTTATGGTGAAATAGACAGTCTGAAAAATCTCTCCTACTGAAATACATAGTAATAGACATCTTTAAATTGTTAAAGAGCAAACATGTCAGTCACTTTGAGGAGAAAGGTACACCTGATGCAATTCAAGGGATTTCATCGTTTCATATGCACTTGAAATCTGGTCAGTGACTAAAGATGATCAAAGAATTAATGGTTTTGACTTAAAGTGGCAGTGAAGAATATTAAATATACTACCAACAGTCAAAAAAACAAACATTTATCTTCAGAGAAAGAAGTAAAGCCAGAGTGTTGAGTAGAAGCAAGGATGGTGAGACTTGTCATATATTCAGAACATGTCAGGAAGAGTCAGCTCCCAGAGAAAGATACTGTAATTTAGAAAAACCTCCATCACGGACAAAAACCAAGAATCCCTAATGAGATGAAATGACACAGTGGATACAACAGTGGACATAGTTGTAAATGTAAAGATGGTGCAGGATTGGAAGGTGTTTTGTTCTGTTGTACATTCTGTTCCTTTGAGTTGAAATCAAGTTGACAACACTAAACAACCATAAGAAAGATAAATTATCCCACTACTCGTCTCAGTTTTTCTTACTTTGGTGACATTTTTCTGTGATGCTAGAAGCTATACTACTATGGGGTTTTAGACATTAGCATGGTTACTCATAGTTGACAGGTTTCAACACACTAGGAAAAAATATCTGACAATCAGCTTCCAGAAATCTAAAAAGAAAATTCTGTAGATTGCAGAATAATAACTCAGACTTTGATGTGTTTGCATTGAATGCATCATCAGGAAAGATTGACTGTCAGAGATAACATATTTGATAAGGTAGAGGACAGCTATGTAAGGAGTACCCTCATTGAGATGTATTAACACAGTGAACTTGAACATAAGAATCTAGTACAGCCCTTCTAGGAAGTAATTATGCCAGGGACCTTGAAAAACCAGGGGTGATGGTTATATAACAAGTGTATTGATTCTGGTCTTGGAATAAATGCAAGGCTGTTCTTTAAAGAAGGACATGTGATGGACTCCAACTTTAATGAAGATTCACCCTAGTATTGTTAATGATTGTTGGCTTCCGGAAACTCTATGAACTTTGATAAATGTCGATAGTTGCAGAAGGGCTTCAGGCCTTTTGTTCCTAGGGTCGCTATGAGTTGTGCTCAACTCGAAGGCGATCAACAACAACATTATCTGGCTAAAACTTCTGATACCATACTGAATAGAAGTGGTAAGAGCAAGCACCGTTGTCTTGTTCTTGATTTCAGGAGGAAAGCTCTCACTTTTTCTTTATTAAGTATAATGTTGTCTGTTGGCTTTTCATATACACAGGGAATCATTTTGCAGACAATCCCTTCTACTCTAGTTTTCTTGAGAATTTTTATCAAAGAATAATGTTGGATTTTTATCAAATTAATCCAGCAGACTTAAGGTAAAGGAAGTAGAATTTAAGAACTATGTGATCCATCTGCCTTTTGTTCTTTTTTTCTTTTAATTTTTTTTTATTATTAATTTCAATGAAAATTTAGAGACTTCGGATTTCCATTCATTCATTGTTGCACTTTTCTCCCTGCCCAACCTCCCCCCCCCCAATACACTCCCCTCTTGGAAAAGTAAAAGAAAAAATTCTTTGTTTTATAATCCCTTCCCCCAGATGCACTCCACTATGCAGCCTTTGCTCTGGACTCCTGTCATGACAAAAATACCTAATCCCATATCCCTTTTAAACAGTTTCTCCCTAATCTGTTTCAGTACAGTATACATTATTGAATCCATCTTTCTT